TTTTTTTTTTTTCCCGAGATGGCTTTGTGCTATTGTAATCGAGGATGAGCAGATCCAGAAATCCGCCTGGACAGCTTTGAAAGCCGTATAAAAGGTCTGGTTGTCTCCCAAGACCACGTGCTTAGTCTAAATGTAGCTCCCACATCTGAAGTCTGTCATGTATAAAAGTATGTTCCTGTTTGCAGTGGGAGCGGGAACACCTCGTACCTGCCATGCTCAGAACAAAGTATATCCACACTGATGAGGTAATGCAAAGGTGTTGCTTTGTGGTGAGGGTGTTTCACTGTAGCTGCCTCTCTAAGTTCTGCCACTGGAGAGGGAGCAAGGTAATTTATTCCCTTAACTGTGGGGCAAGAGCCTGTTTCCAGATAGGAAACATGCTGCAAGTGTGCCAAAGCATATTGTAAACCCAAATCCTGGTTTGCATATAGTCATACAGCCAGAAAGCAGCAGCGGCTGAAGGAGATGACAAAGGAGGAGGGCAGGTGTTACTGCACTCCTTGTACTTAAATTCTCAGTATTCTTGAATAACAAACAACAAAAACCCTAAACTAAAAAGATGCACTAGTACAAGCAAACAAACAAAACAACCCTCTAACAAAACAAACAAATCCCCAGCCAGCCAATCCACTTCTATAAATTTGTCCAGGTGAAGTTTGTTTTTCTGGATTTCTTTGAAGATGATGCTATTGCAAGGCCATAGTCTCTCATAAAAAGCTGGATGCCTCATTCCTGCTGTACCTTTTGTGCCTATTTTGCATCATATTTGCCCTCTTCTGATGGCAAATGACAGACTCTGTTAAGCATGACTTTTATACCAGCAGCATGCTGTTTGTCTTTTTTTTATTTGTTCAGAGCTGCTTTGGCTGCTGTCCAGCTGCTCACCTGGTCAGTGCTGGTGTGAGCCCTCAGCTCCTGGGTGGCTTTGGAGCTGGGAAATCTGTGTGCAGCTGCTGCTGGGGTGCTGCCTGGTGGGAGAGTTTGAGGAGCATTAAGTAAGATGTTTATGGGCAGATGGCTGCAGAGAACTTGAACAAATGAGTGGGAATAGCTGGAGCACGTACGGTGCTGACTTAAAACTTCCTGAAAGTTTTGAGGTCTCAGACACTCCAAAGTCTGTTGTCACTTACTAACTGTTCTGGCAGGGCAGGATGTTGGAAACTGTCATGGAGTTAGAGCTGCAAAAATCGTTCTGCAACCTGAGTCTTGCATCAGTGGTGAGCAAAGAGTCCTTGGTGTTCTGTTGTATCCTGCTAGATACCACGCAAGGGTTCTGCTTCATTGATTGATTTCCTCATGGAAGAAATACTTCAGGTTCCCCAGAGTGCTGAGCATCCCTGTTTGTCCATCTCTGTTTGGGTCTGGGTAGGTTCAGCCCTCTGAACACCTGCCCAGCAGCCGTTCTGGACCGAGGCAAAAACACTTGGGATGTTCCCTGTGCCCATGCACAGGCTGCATCATGCTGGCTGGGCATACTTCCCCATGCTTTGGTCATTACAAGCTCTGTGGAGTGCTTAAAGCCAGGAGAGATGGGCTGCAGGCAGGACAGCCTCTGGAAGTGGACATCATCCTGTTGAGGTGGCTCATCTGCCTGCTGGCATTTTGGTTTGTCACTGAGTTGGCTACACTCCTGAGCCCGGGTTCCAATGTGTTCCCAAGAGCCCTGCCATGCATTCCCATGTATAATACATCCATGGTGGATGTATTATATTGCCTCTCTAGTTAGGTTGTCCCTATATGATGAAGGCTTTTCCCATATTGCAAACAGCATCTGAAAACTACTTTTAAAGTGCAGCTTCTGTGTTAGTGAGAGGCTTCTGCTAAGTTGTGCTTCTTGGCCACAGGTGCTGTTACTGCCTTCTGTAATGCTTCCTTCATTCCCCACGTTTGGGAAGGCTTGGGCAGGTCAACCACAAACCACCTTTTGTTACAACCCCACGTGGAGTCTCTGCATCCATGCCTTGAGCTTCCTTGTGATCTGGAGTTGTGGTCAGTCAGTGATGTCAGCAGTGATATCTTGCACCTTACTGAGTTTAATAAATCAACTCTTAGACCAGGCTTGCAAAAGCTTTGTGTTGGCCTCTGCTCTGGGTACAGCCTCTTCTCTCCTACCTCTTCTACCCTTCCTACATAAAGATTCTAAATGCTGAAATAGCAGCTGCTTGACAAGGGAATACAGATGCACCTGAATACTTTGTACATTGTATTTACCTTCATGTGGAAAATCCATCCCTCTCTGACTGATCATTATTAACTTTGCTTGGATCTGTTTTGGGCACTAGTCTCAAACTTAAGAAAAGCCTGAACATTATGCATGCATGAGCTCCACTTAAATTACCTTAGTGCCTCATAAATCAGTTTGTGCAAGGATCCTGTGTGTTGAGAATGGAACAGCACTCAGGAGGTGTCTGGGTCCTGTTTTGGGACCTGCATGACTCATATGGCAGCACAGATCCAAGCTAAGCTCCTGCTGTTGGATAAGGGTTCAGCTTCCCTCCATGACTGCATCTTGCCCTATCTTTTCTGGGTACCAGTGTTCTTGTGCAGTCCTCCCTTGCTGATGTGTCTAAGCCACTTCAGGTTAGTAATCTCTCCCCAGTAATGTGTTCTTCCAGGAATATTTGCTCTGAGAGTTGCTTTAAATATTGCTTGAACTGACTTTTTAACTCTCACATAAGGAGGCGAACAAGGAGAAGGGGGGATGTGAACTGACATTAGGAATGGTGACAGTGGCAAACATCTGTAAAAAAATTATGGATGAAGATATTGTGTGCCTGGCTACTCCACTTGTTTGAGCATCTTCCACATGTTGTATTTGGGGTCCCTTCACATCCTTTGCCCCAGTATTCTGCTGTGTCTTACAAGGCAGCAGGTGAAGCAGGATCATGTTGCCACACCTTCAGTGTGTCCCTACCTCCACCTGGGCTGCTTATTCCCAGAAGTCAGCAGGGGAAGTGGAAACTCTGGGGTCACTAAAGCAGCTTTTTCAGGAGTTTTCTTGGGAATCTGAGCATGCTGTGGCTGTTGTTTAAACAGCAATATTCAAGCTGAATTAATTGCTTGCCTATTCAGAAAGATGGGAGTGTGGGTTAGGGTTTAGCCTTTAGCTTAGACTATAGGCTGGGCCTGTTGGTTTAGATGAGACTTCACATAACTTGGGGACCATCATCTTGTTTGTTTTCTTGAGTGGACTGAGAAGACTTTTCAGGCCCTGCTGAGGGCAGGTGGTGCAGTTGAGCTCAGATTTTTGTCCTTGCTCTTCTTTCTATCCTGATCCCCTGTTGTAATAACTTTGAGAATAGAGATCTTTAAGGCAAATCTGTTTGCTCTGATTCCTGTAAACAGCAGAAACAGCTGAAGACAAGCACATTTTTGAGGCAGGGGAAATATTCTGCATTTTGTAGGCATTTCAGGGATTTGTGGGAAGTTACATTACTAGCAGTGTGTGAAGGACGTGAGTTTGGATGTGAAAAAGGGCACTTGCATTAGAGGGGCTCAGATGGTTGTAACCTAGCCTGGGTGCCTCATGCCCTTGGGACACAGCACAGGGCACCAAAATGGGCCTGGGTGGGTCCCAGCCCCTGGGCAGACATGTCATGGACACTTGAATTGGACATTTGAATTGCAGCACTCAACAGCAGGCAGTGAAACTCTTTGTTGTGTCCAATCCAGAGCCTGAGTTTTGCTTCACTTTAAAACCTTCACTGGATCACTGTGAAAGAGCATGGGAAACACGAGTAGCCTCCCTTTCATATATTTTTCTTTTCTTTTTAAATATCATTATTGGGAGGGTGACATTTTGCGTTTATTTTGGCCAGCGTGGCTCTTTCTGAGTAACTTTAGAGTCGCTCTCTCCCCTCCTGGTTTTTTTTTTGTTTTGTTTTTGGCTTGCAGTTAACAAAGTGCAATTGAGCCTGAGCCCTTGGCTCGTCTGGATGCTGAGCACAACTTCAAGTTTCCTGGTACAACAGCAACGTGAGCGAGGTGGTGAGGAGCTCATCCCTGCGTTTCTCCTCTTTCCGCCTTTTCCTTTCGGCAGAGCCACCTGTTAGCATTACATCAGCGGCTCCCAGGAACGCCGCCACCTCCTACCAAAGGCCTCGCACAAAGTGGTGGCTCTTGCATTGTTTGCACTCAAAGAGCTGATGTCATGCCAGCTGATGTCATTGTGTGCTTTGTGGGATCGCCATGGAAACCGGGCAGGTGGGGAGCCTGCCGCTGATGTCAGTGCAGAATGAGGTGGAGAAAGAAGGTCCACTTTGCTTGCTCCAGCTCTGTGAAGCCACTCTGCTCAAAAAAAAAAAAAAAAAAAAAATTAAAATGGAGAGGGAGGGAAATGGTGCTTGAAAAAGCCAGCAATAGAGCAGGGAAGGCACGAGCTTCCTTCACTGAGAAAGTGACTTCTCCCTCCCCCCTCAGATCCATTTCCCAATCCATTTTAGTGTCCTAAAAATAACTCTTGCTCGATATTTTCAGGTGGCCGGAGCAGCAAAAGGAGAGCTGTTTGCCACATGTTAAGCGAGCACCTCAGTCGCTGTTAGGTTCCAAGGAGTGGTTTTCTTTTGTTTGGGCACACAGACGGGTTCATGCTGTCCCTGGGGTGGGAGGACGCCCTGCAGGGCTGCTAAAGGGCAGGTAAAGCTAAGGTTATCCCAGCTGGCTTGCTGCTCTGCTCTAGTGTGCTGCTAGCCCCTTGGCCCCTAGTTTTGGTGCCGTTTTCTTTCATGGAAAAGCCCCTTCCTTGTGGCACAGGCCGGTAGGTGAGGCAGCCCCAGCAGGCTGATGCTGCACAGAGGCGTGTTTGTGTGCGAGCCCGTTCCTTGGCACCGCGCACAGGGAGGACAATGCCTGCTGCTGATTCATGCCACCCGTGCTGTTGACAGCCCAGTGACACTGCTACAGTGGTGGTGGGGACAGCAGAGCCAGCTCCAGCCCCCGTGGCCCCACTGTAGAAATGTTGGGGTGCCTAACCAAGGTGTCTGCTTGGTCTCTCTTCCCAGGAGGACTCAGCGGTTTCAAGCAGAACCACGAAAACCTCTGCGACAACTCCCTCCAGCTGCAGGAGTGCCCCGAGGGGGGAGGAGGGGGCGGCGCCTCGGCCGTGCCCCCCGTGCTACCTCAGTCCATCCCCACCACGCCGGACATCGAGAACGCTGAGCTCACCCCCATCCTGCCCTTCCTCTTCCTCGGCAACGAGCACGATGCTCAGGACTTGGAGAAGATGCAGAGGATGAACATCGGCTACGTCATCAACGTGACCACCCACCTGCCCCTGTACCATTACGAGAAAGGCATGTTCAACTACAAGCGGCTCCCCGCCACTGACAGCAACAAGCAGAATCTCAGGCAGTATTTTGAAGAGGCTTTTGAGTTCATTGGTAATTACCCTTGCCTGGAAATACTCCTGTTGGTGTTTTTATTGTTCTTATTTTTATCCGTTGTGACGGTTTAGAGTGAGCTTTATGCTTTGCCAACAACTAGGAAGGCTGGTTAAGGCCGTATTTCCTTTAGTTTGGGTTGTCAGAAATGCTGAGCACCTCATATTTCTGTCCTTTCTCATCTCTGGCACATCCGGTGAAGTGGCCCGAGGTTACAATTTTTATCCAGTGATAGTAACGCCTACCTCCAGGCTTCTAAATTCAGGAAACCCCACAAAATTGAGACTTTCGTCATGCCCTCTTTTTGATTCCTTTGCATTCCTAGTTTCCACACAGTGGCTTCCAGCCAGTTTTTCATAGTGACTGTTCTTAATGGTGTCTCAGTCTTTGCTAACTTAATGAGAAAACTGACAAACTTTCACACTTGGCTTGTTCCACCATTAGATTTGTAGCTTCAGAGGGTATGTGTGGTTGAGTGGATAGTGATGAAAACTTGCATTAATAAGCCTCTAAACCCTGTAGGCTGTGTGACAGAGTTCACCACAGACATGCAGCTTGTTGTGGAGATTGCTGAAGAAGTGACCCAGCAGCGTTGTTCTGGACCTCATTACGAGCAACACAGCACAGACCTCAGCCAAATTTAGGGCCATGCTCAGCTAGGCTCAAGCCAGATGGCCACTTCAAGCAGGGCTGGTCAGAGAGGACTGCAGCATGTGGTACTGAAAGCTTTTGAGGACCTTTCGTTGCCCCTCTAGATGTCTTTGTGGACACTGCTTTTGTGGCATAGTAAAGGTGCTTCCCTAGCCCAAGCGTACGTCCTGAGAGGTTTTCTGAAATATGCTGGGGGAACCACTGACATTAAATTCTATTTCTTGTGCTGAGACTGATCTAATTCCTTTACTAATACTTCAGGCTTGATGGAGGAGTGCTAGACAGAGGAAGAAGTGTGCTTGTGTGCTGCACCACAGCACAGGTCCTTGACTGACCCTGTACTGGAGTGGGTGCAGAGCCGTGTTCTTCCCTGCTCCCCTTTGTGCACTCAGACTCAGCAAGGGTTTGGCCCCAGCTGTGGGATTGGGTGCCAGGGCAGGAGGGCCAGGCTCAGCTCATTGTTGTGAGCCCATCTGCCCCTGCTGCATCCCAGGCAGGGCTGGCAGCTCAGAAGAACAGGCTCCTCAGCCTTGCCTGGCTGTGTCTTGGCAGGGGTCATGGTGTGCTAATGTCTGTGCTCTGTAGCCACACCACTTTAGTGAAGTGAGCAGAAAAATCACTGCTTATGCTGCAGTTCAGGTGAGTTTTACCACTCTGAGCCTTTGGGCTTGTCTTCTATAGTGTGAAGGACCAGAGGATTTCTAACTCACATTTTCCCTTGGTCCTAACCCAGCCTCAGCAATGCCAGTAGTGCTGTCAGCTCCCCAAGATGCTGGTTACTGTCTGCCTGGGAAGGTGAATGCTTGTCTGGGTGAAGGGCAGGGAAAAGGGAACCTTGCTTTGATCCTCTGGGAAAACAGCTGTGTCAAGAAATCCCGTAAAACCTTAAACTTTGAGTTCAACAAGATGGGGAGATGCAATAGGCTAAGGTTAGGTAAAGAGACTGTGAAGCTCCATTGAGGTCCCTCTGAGGTAGAAGAGAGATTTCTGCTCCCCTCATCCCCATGAATTGCAGGATTAGAGTTCTCAAAACCACTGAAAGATAGTGTTTGGCTTGTGACCTTACCAAGAGCAGAGAAAGAAGCTTTGCTCTGGAAAGGTTTAGAAAGCGTTTCAAAACCCATTTTACTTTTCCTTTTTAATAATTACAGCTTGAGGGTCTGTCTTTGTTTTTAATAAACAAATATTTCTCCATTGAGAGATTTTCTTCCGTATCAAATTAACCAGCTGGGGAAGTAACTGGTCTAAGCTTTCCCTTCCTCAGGGTAAACTTTAAATTGCATTTGAGAAGATTTGGAAATGTTTAAACAGCAGATTGTTGGCCTATGTTTCTTTAAATATGTCTTTAAAAAACCACAACCAACCCCAGGTTTAGCTGAGACTAAAGCCATAGGAAGTGAAATCATCAGAAACTCTCTGGGAATGTGTGTCAAAATGCGTTAGAGAGTTTCAGCTTTCTGAAATACTAACTAGCAAAAATGTCTAGAGGGAAGTTGGCTTCATGTATGCTTTCACAGTATAGGTTGAACATGTGGAGTGGGTTGAATTGTGCTCTTGGTGGGGTTGGGTTCGTGCCAAAACCTGCAAACTAAATTCACGTCCCTCCTGTGGATTGAAACAAAAGAAGTAGTTTGAAGTGTCACTTCCTGAAAGTTCCATCTCCTGTTTGAAAAGCAAGCTGTGGCAGATGAGCATGGTGTGGTAGTGACTCTCCTCTCTCATGTCCTGTTAGCATGTGATAAGAGGGGCTCTGTCCCTGCTAAATGCTGCCCAGGGTGCCTCTCTCTAAGGGATGAATCTTGCTGGAGTGGGTGTGTGTGCATATCCAGCTCCTGCTTTTGCAGAGGCACCACAGCAGAGAGCCCCACTGAAGCTCATTTCAAGAGTAGCTTTGCAAAGCTTCAGAGGACAGGGCTTTGAGACAGATGTATTATGAATTGAATCTGAAAATACCTGGTTTTTAGACGAGTGGTTCCCAGCTTTGAAAAACAGGGGGTTTGAGGTGCTGACATAACACAGTGGCGTTGTAACTGAGGTGGAAATGGAGCCTGAGATTCCTCACAAAATGCTCCCTGGCAGTGAAGCAGCGTCTCTCAATGCGTGGTTCCACTAATAAAGAGTAGAGAGGCGACATGAGGATTTTCAGTGTCAGACTGGACTGGGGGTTTTCACATTCAGTAGCTCTGAAACCTCAGGGGAAAAAGTGCTGGAGGGGAAGGGGAAGAGATGCTGCTGTGCTTGTAATCAAATCGAGGGACTTTTCACATGAAGTTACTCTTAATTGCACTGAGCTTGTTCTAATTTAAAAACTGGCAGAAATCTTACTTTCTTCTGTCTGTCTGGTTTGCAGAGGAAGCTCATCAGTGTGGAAAAGGTCTCCTCATCCACTGCCAGGCCGGTGTCTCCCGCTCTGCCACCATCGTTATCGCGTACTTAATGAAGCACACACGCATGACCATGACGGATGCCTATAAATTTGTCAAAGGCAAACGACCAATCATTTCCCCCAACCTTAACTTTATGGGGCAGTTACTGGAGTTCGAGGAAGACCTGAACAATGGAGTCACCCCACGAATCCTCACACCAAAGCTGATCGGCGTCGAGACTGTCGTGTGACGGCCGAGCTGCCAGGGGGCCGAGCCTGTTCTTCACCTGGTTTTTGGGGCAGTGATGGGTGGGCTGTGGGGTTTTCTTTTTAGCTTTCAAAGGGGAGTTTTGTGGCAAACTTTTTGTGAATAAAAACCTTTTTTTGTAAGGAAAGGTTTTTAAAAGATCCAAGAACTTTGCTGGGTTTGGGATGCTGTTGTGATTTCCTTCTCAGATACCGGCAGAGCAGGGAGGCTTCAGAGAAAAAGGAGTACTTTTTAAAATAAAAACAAGAAGAAGAAGAAGAAGAAGAAATGTTGGGCTTTTTTTTCTTTTAATTTTTAGTTTTCCCTCCTCTCTGGCTACTTGTAGAGTTTATGGCTAAGTAGTCTGTGCAGGTTCATAGACTGAAGAAACCTAAGTTGAAGACGAAAAACAAATAGCCAAAACAAAGCAGCAGAAAAAAACCCTCCCTGAAACAGAAGGGCCTTCGTTCTGCAAAGGCTTTGCTAAAGATAACCTAGCAAAATGCTCACCAATGCAAAGGAAATCAGAGCAGCTTAAAAGTCTGCAAGGTACTTTTCACACTCCTGACTCAAACTAAAGAAGAAAACAAAGTTTATTTGGCGTGTTTCATGTTCCAGTTCTATTTTTCTATTTTGGGGTGTAAGGTTTTAACAGTAAGGGACTTCGATCATTCTATGCCATATGCCTTCACTGGCTTCTTGTGCAATAATAATTTGGAGTTTGTTTTGAGTGCTCAAACCAATTAAGAGTTGGCTGCCCACTAATAATAAGATAATAATTTTTAAAGTCTAATAGTGCAACAGCAGCCAGCTTGGTTCAGGAAGGATAAATGAGAGCAATTATTTTGTTCCTTTATATGATTTTGATCCTGGTTACAGTGCCATAAACCTTGTTACATATGTATATCAGAATGTACAAAAATCTAGAACAAGCAAAGTTTATTTAAAAATATTTTTCGCACAAAATATTGGTGTGTTTCAGTTGTCTATGTAAAAGAAATTTGATTATAAAACAAAAAAATCTTTTGGAAAGTGTGTGTCCTTTTATTTCTTTAGCCATTTTCCATTTTCTTTCTGTGGGATGGGGTTTTTGTTTCGTTCCCTTTGGTTTGTTTTTTTGTGGCATTGTACCTCTCCCATTGACAAAATTGATGTCTCTTGTTTGGCATCTCCCCTTCAGTGTTGTGTTCCTGTCCTCTGCTGGTGGAACATGTTTTCTTTACTTTCTGCTGCACTCTTGCATCTCTCTGTAACCAGGTTTTTCTCTCTGGTTCGACTGAATTAGCACTATTGGTGAGGGCTTTTTGGAACAGACCTGTTATTTCTACAGCTCAGTAGCCACTTGGAAAAATAAGAAATAAACTATCTCCACTGATTCCTTTCTATCTTCCTGTAGTTAACTTATCTTCTATGTTACAAAATTGTCTGGTTTTTAGACATATGTTGGTCACATGTGCTTTTCCCTGGCCTCTCTATAGCCCCCTTGTTTAGCAGTTCCACAATTCCTGGGAATCATCCTCTTGGGATTCTTCCCCTCCCTCCTGCCCTTCTTCCCTTCGTGCCCCTCCTTTTCCAGCTGTGTCAGTGTTGTGTGGTGTGTATTGTAGGGCTGATGTTTCTGCCTGACACTGTCCCTTGGGCAGCTGACTTTCACTTTCCTTGTTTGTATTCACTTTTTTTTAATGATATGGTATAACCTGATCTGTTCTGGACTGTTACCACCTCCAAAGTTTTATTTGTATGAGCCTAAAATGAGTTAGAAAACATTTCTCATACGATTCTGTTGTGCAAACTGATCTGTCCCAGGAAGGTTGATAGCAGTGAAGGCTTTTCCTAGGTGAAAACCTACATGGACTGAACCAAGTGTAAAACAGGACCTGTTGGAAAAATTAATGTATAATCACATTAGACATGTATATTTTTGTGGACATTTTACTTAAAATGTTGTTACTATACAGATATTTTCTTGAAACTTATCCCTTTATTAAATTATTTTTCTACTGGAGTTGATTTTTAAATTTTTTTTTTTTTTTTATTTTCTATTATTATTATTGGTCCTTTTGTTGAAAACACCCTTGGCAGTGATTGTTGCCCAGGCAGCAAAACCTCTTGGGCTGTGACTGCCCCTGGAGCTAAGGAGAGAGTGGCTGGATAGAGAAGGTGCCATTTGCTGGTTGGGAGCCTTTGTGCTTTGGGAAGGAAGGAGGTCCCTTAGCAAAGCTGCTCTGCTTCCCTCCCCCCTTCTCCTTGTGTTTGGACCCAACCTCTTCCAACTGTTCTCCATGAGCTGCAGGTGCCCCTTGTTAGGTAGGAGGGAGGAGGTTGGAAAAACCTTTCTTACCAGAGAACAAAAAGCAGCAGAAGCAGCAGCAGGGCTGTAAAGTTGGTCCTTGCAGCCTGTTTGTGGCTATAAAGGCTGTGTGATAGTGCTGATGCCCTGCCAGGGAAACAGGTTATTCACCAAAGGGAGCAGGCAGGCTGCATGCCTGGGTCCCAGTGTGATGGGAAGGAGGACTTGATCAAAATTAATCTTCCATGTTACTGCTTTTCTTGTTCCTGTTCCAACACCTCAAGAGGGAGGAAGGTTGTGCTGCACCACCACGACTCACAGCATCCCCTCTGTGCTTCAGCCTCGGCCACTGCATGCTGAGTGCATTAGGATGGAGTTTGCAGCCATGTAAGTACTGGTGTTTAATTCTTAATTTGAGCCACTGAGTAGCTCTTGCAGCCTTGAGTGAGTTACTGGCAGCAGAGGATTTGTTGTGTTTGCCTCAGTCAGGCTCAGCAGTTTGGGTGCTGCTGCTCCATGCACGGGTGTGGAGCTGGAGTTTCTGCTGCAGGAACCCTGCCAGCCTGTGCTTGTCACTGTGAGGAGCAATACTTGATTTTATTCTCTAGTGTGATGGTCTTGGAAGTGGTGGGGCAGGGCAATACAAGGCTGTGAGTGAGTGGAGTTTGCTGTGGGTTTGTTGGTAGTGGAGATGGGCTGATCAAACCCCTCCTTTGGGCAGACCATTCCTTGGAGGGAACCTCTGGAGGGTTGTGTCCCACTGAAAGCAAAGCTGGGAAATGGCAGCCTGAGAATTGCTTCACCAGAGAACGGGTTGGAGGGTAATGCTGATTTGCTGATTTTTTAATTTTTTTAAGGCAGAATTTACTGAAGCTAGTAAATGATCACTTAGCATCTTTATGCTATGGTCAGGAGAAATTTGGTGAGGGTTTGGGGAGCCCTGCCTGTGTGCATCTTTTCATCCTTTTCTGCTATCCAGTATGATGCACTGTGAATGTGTGCCTGCTCAGAAAGCCACTGCCTGAGCACTATATGTGCCTAGCCAGAAAAAAATAAAAGATCTGCCCTCATTTCTGGGAGGGAGCAAGGCTGAAGGGATGTGGGCCAGAATTGTGATGGGTTTTAAACAAGTATTCCTATTGCTGTGGCACAGCAATAAATAACCAGAAAGGTTATTTATTACTTTAAGGACAGAATTGAGGCCTGATCACCCATGCCCTGCTCTTACTGCTGGCTGTGACACCCCCCTCAGCCACTGCAAGATGAGGCACGGTTAAAACAAATGGGAAAATCACTCAGTAGCCTTTTATTCACATATGGGTGTCAGTGAGACTAAGACCTGCTTTTCCCTGCTTGGTGCCAGCATTGTGCTCTTGTGCAAGGTGTGCTGAAATAGGCATGGTCCTGGAAAATTGATTCCCTCATAACCCGTTTTCCATTTGTCCCCTGAGTTCTTGTTTCTGAGAATATCACCCAGGTGCTGTGAGTGGCTCCCCGAGATCCACCTTGCAAGGCAGGCAGGGTGTTGTGAGCAAGTGCTGCTTCTGGTTGGGAATTTACTTACTCTTCACAAATGGTGACCCAGCCATGTGTGAGACCTGCTGTAAAGCTTTCTTAAAGCTAGAACTGTTCAATTTATCCATCTTGCAAGCTATCCTGACTTTAGGGTTGACTTCCAGAGTCTAGAGATTGTTTAACTTCCCATGCCAAGCAGCTCATATGCTTTATTCTTCTTGGTCACACTGGGGATAACTGAATCCCCCTTCTTGTCTTGGCAGATGATTTTCTGAGGCTTTCCTATGGCTTTACCTTTCACAGATGTGCCAGCAGCCTTTGGAAAAAGACAGATAAAAGCTCCCTCCCCTACCCTCTTGACAGATAGAGACTCGGGGAGTTTTGAGCTGAAGCAATCGTGTGGGAAGTGCATTGGTGCCTTATAGTGAGAAGCTCTGCCAAGGACTCCTTGCAGGTAGGGTGTTCAAAAGCACAGGCAGGAGCTGACGAGACTGAGGAGCCACAAGGGCTGTGGGAAAAGGCAGATGGGGAGAGTGTTTTGGCCTCCAGTCCTGCTTAGCTGTGGTGGAGCTGGCTCCCAGCATGTGTACTACCAGCAGCAGGAAAGCCTCTGGGAACTGAAGGTGCTGATTCAGTAGGGAGGACAAAAATAAAGCCTGCTATCTCTGCCTGAGCCAAGGAGGGAATCAAAGAGAGATAATAAGTAGTTGAGGGCTGGCTCATTAGCAGGTATCTGCTTTCCTGTGGCCTGTTTGTCTGCTGTTCCTGTAGGTACCACAGAGGAGTTACTGATGAGCAGGTTTCAAATGGTTTGAGCCAGCCTGAGATCAGTGGATAATCAGAACCATTTGTTTTCCCAGTGAGTGTGCAGCTGCTGGAAGCAAAGTTCAGGTCCTGTTGTGTTCCCAGGGGTGCTGCCAGCCCCTGTCATCTACCCATGCTGGGTGCAGTATTAATCTCTGCTCAGCCCAGTGCTCCTTTTGCTGAGGGGTTTCTTAACTCTGCTGTTTCCTCTCCTGTTAGGCCTTTGTCCCAGTGCAGCATGAGCTGGAAGAGCAGGCTCCTTTCTTCTCTTGCTTTAGCTGTCTTCTGCATCTTTTCCAGTCTTGTCATTCCTCAGACTGGGAGGAAAGCAACCTAAAGTCAGTCATTTTTAAGGCATATTGCAGCAGGGTGAATATTTGCAATGATCTTGATGGGATGTCTGGTGTGGATTATTATCAGGCAGCAGCTCTTCCTGGGAGCCCAGAGCCCAAGATGTCCTGTAGCAATTCCAGCTTGCAGCTGCCTCCTTACTAGGAACAAGGGGCGCTGTTGGGATGGCAAAATTGCATATTTCAATCACCTGCTGAGCATCTCTAGTTGGTGCTGCTCAGGTGGAGAGGTGAGCTGGAGGGAGGAGCAGTAGCAGAACTTGCCCAAGGTGCAGCCAGAAATCCTACTGCTGACTCGGTGTCTGAGCTGCTCTGCTCTTTGCATCTTTATGGAGTCAATGTCCTGTATGTAGAGATGCACTCCCTGGCCTTGGAAGCTGTCTGAGGTCCTGTTGAATTTGGCTGGGTCCAATCTGGCTTAAATCCTGCCCTGTGAGGTGCCCATCTGTTCAGCGTCTTCCCAGGATGTGACGGGAGTTTGTCAGGCTGAGCCAAGAGCCTGTGAGCTCCTGCTCCAGGGCTGGGTTCATTTCAGTGGCAAGGAAAAATAACCTAAAGGTTTATTCCTGAGGATAAAAATGGCTATATCTTGGAGGGGAAGAGTTCAGCATAGTGCAGAAACACTTGAAAAACCTTCATGTGAACCAGAGAGCAAAATTAAAAATGTAAGAAACCATTTCTGTTAGATAAATCAGTAAACAAGAGGTTAAATATAACTTGACTCATGCCTTGTCTTCACACTTCTGTACCTTAGTTTCTTTGATTGTCTATATATAAGAAGTGACATTGGAGAGCTTGGATTTATCCTGAAGATTTATTTGTCATGGAGAGATGAAGGAGCTGTCTGGCACTTGTGAGTTTCATATCAAGTTGCACTTCTGGCAGAAGCCAGTGGAGCATTTAAAGAAGATCACATTGTAGAGCAGCATAGTAAGTTGCTATAAGGATGGGCAGAGGTGTGTCTGATGCAGGGATGGAGGGCTGCTGAGTTGTAGTTGTTGTTGCCCTGGTCCAGGGCACATACAGGTACAAAATGTCTAGTCAGAGGCATTGGCAGCAGCTTCAATGAGAGCATGTTGGTTGTTAAAACCCATTGGGGCAATGGAAGAGGATGCTGGTGTGAAAAACTGAGATACTAGCATGTGGCTGGGGAGCTGTTCATATTTTCAGAGATCTGAACGAGGTCTGGCAGTTCTGAACCAAGCTTTGCCCTGTTAGCATCCATTTGGAAGCTCTTTTCAAGGCACCCAGCTTTGATGCAGTATTGTGCATGTACCTCAGTGCTTTGCTCTGTCCTGCAACCCTTCAACACCTGGGACTGAACCTTTGCAGCTCCTGACAGCAGCTTGTAGGGACTCGTTTCCCGTGTGAGGCAAACAGGTGCCAAGGGGCACACTGATGGTTCATTTCCCTGCTCAGCTTTCAGCTGTGACCATCGGGACATGGTGCAACCTGCTGGAGAAACTCCTCTGGACTAGGGTCTGTGACAGTACCTGGAAGGGAAACTCCAGTGCCCTGGGTGAGCTGTTCATTCCAGCTGACTTAGCTGAACTGGTATGTGTGTAGCAACAGTAAGAGTCTCAGAAAGTTTGAGAAGTTCAGTTCCTACTCTGAATTTTGAAGCATATTGACAATTTGATGCACCGTCACAAATGCGTAATCTTTGTCAAGGAATCTAGGCAGATAAAATGTTTACTGCTCCATAGTTTGTTGGACATAAGAAAGGATTTGGTTTATTTGGAAGTCCTCTCTGCCTTGAAGTATCACCCACACTTGTAAATAACAGCATGGAAGCAGTAAGTAAGTAAGTAAGTAAGACCTTATCCTCTAGACAGGTGTTGTCTCTCCCATTTTGCAGCTGGAGCAGATGAGAGGGATCTCAGTGGTCACAGGGAAGAGTGAGGAACAGAGCCCAGGAGCTTGGATTCCTCCACCTTTACTAATATTACAAAACTATTTCTTACACTGATAAGTGTGGTGATTAGCTACAACTCCAGATGCTGAGGGCCTTCTCCTTGCAGCTGGAGCAAATTAGGTGCTCATTGT